TATGGGAAACAATATTTTTCCCAAAGTTTTTGGAAAAGTCATGGAAATGTAACTAAAGTTGCATCAAATATAATTTTATATTTTATCTAATCGCCAAAATAGTAAAAAAGTAATACTATAATGATAATACATACTGTATCCTATAGTAATGAAACGTAAAATGGCATTTAACTGACGAGGTATTTTGCTGGTGAGAGATTTTAGTTGCGTTAGCGTGTAGAAGCTAGTAAGCCAACTATTGGATTTGTTTTAGATAGGCACAACATGTTTCATATGCAGACCTTATTTTCCTGTTCCACGTTAAAATAAACCATTTTCAGTGGTACCGCTGAGAAAGAGTCATTTCTTTGGTCATGGAAAATTAGGTAGAAGTCATTGAAAATCATTGGTGAAAAAGTGTATGAACCCTGAATACACTTTAAAATAAATCCATAAAAGTCCCTTTTTTGGGGGACATTTAAAGTTGTTACAGCAGAAAGATAAGATACGAGATAAGAAGTACTTTATTGATCCCAATTTGGGAAATGTTTGCGTTGCAGCAGCAGCATAAAAGACATGGCATTGTACAATCCAAATATATCATCATTTATCAGTTCCTCTTAAGAATGTCCTCCACATGTCCTGTCTCAGACTCTGAAGCACCTGATGGATAAGGAGCGGGTGAAGGGCTTCTGTCAGTGCATCGTGGCCCAGAAGCCCCGGGAAGGCATCAGTCACATGATCCAGTCCAGTGGGCTCGGAGGAATGAAGCCCAACACGGTGGTGATGGGCTGGCCTCACGCCTGGAGGCAGAGCGAGGACCCTCAGGCCTGGAAGACCTTCATCAGTGAGTGGAAGAAAAGAGGGTTTTGCTAGGGCTGCCCTCGACTAAAGATTTTTCTAGTCGTCAATTAAGACGATTAGTCGACCATGTTTATGATAAATTATGATTATTATTATTATTTTTTTTTTCTCCCAAGATGGTTTCAGTTTCAAAAAGCTTTATTATAACAGCATGGTACGTTGTGCTTCACATCAAATATAAAATAAAACTGTAATAATGAACCTTTGAAATGTAAGTTCAATTGTCTGACTAATGAAAAATTGGTCGACGAATACTTTTTCCGCCGAATAACTTTTAGTCAGCTAATTGGGGGCAGCCCTGGTTTTTGCTTTCCCCTGAGCTTGGAGTTTGAGCTTCTCAGTTTCTCATCCTAACAGCGCCCCCTCTCTTCCCTCAGACACGGTGCGGGTCACCACAGCAGCCCACCTGGCCCTGCTGGTGCCCAAAAACATCTCCCTGTTCCCCAACAACAGCGAGCCCTGCAGCGAGGGCTACATCGACGTGTGGTGGATCGTCCACGACGGGGGGATGCTGATGCTGCTGCCCTTCCTGCTGCGCCAACACAAGGTAGCATCTGTGCTTACATACACTTTAAAACAGGGGTGTCTTATTGTGTGCTAGCATCTGGAAATGCAGTATCCTGACTGCTGTTAGGGGCAGTGGAGGGGTCGCCATCTATTCTGTATTTTAAGAAAAAAACTCCCATCCCACCTCCTGTTCCCATTTTCCCCTTGTGTAATGCAAAGCTGTCTTTTTCTCATAGGTGTCTGAATCATGATGTATGAGTTGACATGCTGCCAGATTAAGAAAGCAAATGATTGTCAAGGCATGTTGATCTAGAACGGATTTATTAATAACAGTAGCTACGATGTGCTGAGATACAAAATCACTGTCAACTCAAATTTAGGATTTTGCTGCCGTTATACAAATGAACAATGCATAATGTTCCCTTTTAGTCATTAGATCCAGATCCAATGTTTGAAATGTATACACCAGGTTATGTTAAGGGAAATCTAGATTTGGTTAATGTAGAATTAACCATTCAGTAATTTGACTTAGTGACATCCCTCATTTGACTTCAAGCTCACACATATCAGCTACTGTCCTGAACATCGAATTTGTCTAGGTTCAGCCTTCAGTGTTTCCCACAGAATTTGATTATATTTGTGGGGGCACCGCACAAAAAAAGAAAAGCCAAAGGCCCCTTAACCTATTCGGGTGGTCCACGCATCCACCCCCCCTCAAATAAGATAATACATGCGAGTTCATGGCTACTGCAGATAACGTTCTTGTTGCTCTGTGTTGCGTTGTTAATGAGTGAAACACACCAGAGTTGAGGATCTATGGGGTTTATTCTCCCAAAAATATAATTTACAATATAGGCATTTAGCCGATTTACAATGACCATTTACAGGGACATTCTCCCTGGAGTAACCAAGGGCTAAGT